TGTAACTCAGTGTTCCTCACTACATGAGTAGAAAGAGCAGCTACAAAATACGTACCATTCTCTGCAGTGTGCTAGAACAAGCGATATCCAGATTTCTCCATGAGAATCAAGATAAAATGCTTTTCTCTAGGTCAACCCTCCTGGGCACCTAAAATGAGATGCAAATTTCACACTCTGTACTCAAAGGTATTTCTCCAGCTATAATCTTGGGCTTAATTTTCTGGGGATTCATATTTATTGGAAAAAGAGAGGAAATCTGATAAAGAAAGAATTCCTAGCGTCATCTTGTTTTATTGCTGCCTAGACTCACTTCTTACCAGTTCATTCCACACGTGGGGCCTCCCTTTACCAGTTACATTGTAGACTCAATGTTTGCTTCCTCTCTTTATCCCCTTCCTATCAGTTCTGCACCATTCGGCCTCATTCATCTTTCCTAAAACACCTCTTTCATGGTGTTACACCCCTACCCAAAACTGAGAGTGGCTAGTTCTACTTGTAAAGGATGTGGCATCCAGGAGGTTTTCTAACATGGCTGTTCCTTTTTCTTTAAATGAAATACCTGTCCCTCTCCTTACTCCTGGAGGTCATTGCCCCATCTGTTGGCTTTCTTTTCTCTGTTTCATCCTGGTGCCCTGTGTCTATTTCTGCATATTTCTGTGTCTCAATTCCACAGGGCTTTGAGCCCTGAGCTGTCCTCCATGTTTTTACCAGAATTCTCCCAGTTGCAGAGAGGCCTTCCAGTCTCTGTTGGATGCTCTGTGTCATACTTACTTTGTATGTAGGTCTTCCAAGGGAGTGAATAAAGAAAACGTTGCTGGCATGCTGTGATATTGCCTATAAGTTAAAATTATTGCATTTGAAAACAGACTGCCTGGGTTTGAGTGCCAACTCCTTACTTCCCAGTTGTGTGACTTCTAGCAAGCTCTTTAAGCTCCTTTTGTTTCAATTTTCTTGTCTGCAAAATGGGGATAATTCTAGTACCTGCTTCCTAGAGGACAGCGAGTATTCATGGAGACAATAAGCACTCAGTAAATTTTAGTTATTCTTTATTGTGGTTTTGACTGTTTCAGATTCATGGTCTTAAATAGCTTACCAGTTGCTAGATTTGCTTTGATGGTAGAGTTTAGATCTGAAGGATCCAAAACATTCTCTCCATGCAAATAGGTCACAGTAGCATCAGAAGGACGCTAGCAATTAGATGAAGGTCAGGGTGCTAGGAATGGGAAAAGGATGGACAGCCACAGTTAAGGAAGCGCAAATGGCAGCAATGAGAGAATATACTTTGGCTTACCACCTAGCGCCTGGAAGTTCTGAGCAATACAAGTATAGAGTCTGATGGTTAAACTGATGGCACCACATTTTTCACTGAGCACTGTAAGGCAGCAGATGAACTAAAATGTCCCTCACAATTTGCATTTTTATATACAGTCTTAAAAAAATATTAAGACCTTACATGTGAACTCTATGCTACACACTCAAAAAAGGTTACCAGGACCAATGGAAGGTTTATCAGTAATGAATGTAATCTAAATGAAATTGCACTGTGCCATTAGATTCAGTCATGATTCTGACAGATAAATGATTATTTCTAACCATTGGCTATATATTATTGAAAATCTGAAGGATGTCATTAGAAATATATTTGTCTTACATTAAAGACTTTCTACATGCTCAGCAAAACAATGTATAAAGAGCAATTTTTACTTTACCATCCAGTTGATCAACTACTCTCTTTCCAAGTGAAAATGTAGGAAGGGAAGAAATGAGTCGTGATGTCATTCAGTGGGAAGTATAGGAGGAGTTTCAAGCGCAAGGGCTCCAGATCAGGCTGCTTAGATTTATTATCTGTATTCATATGGGAAGTTCAGGAAAGTGAAGTCAGCTGCTACATCAGATACATCCCCAAATCTCACAACATAAGTCTATTTGTCATTCATACTGTTAGATTGGCCACAATTGGTGGGACAGCTGTGCTCCAAGCAATGATTCTGAACCTGGGCTGCTGCTTCCTTTCATTCAGCTGGAGGTAGGGTGGGCTGGATTTAGGTTGAGACATTGGGGCAACTAAACCTTTCACACTAGCTATGTCACCTCTCCACATGGTCTTTTCAACATAGTGGCTACACCTATGACATGGGGGCTCAAGGGTCCTATGAATGCAAAAGCAGAAGTTTCCATGCCTTCTTATGTCTCAGGCCCAGAATGGGCTTGGCATCCCCTTCTGCCACATCCAGTTGGTTAAAGTAAATCATAGAGCCAGGCAGGCTTGAAGGGCAGGGGACTACACTAGGCAAAGAACACTGAAAAATGTGATCCACTCCTGGGACTACCACACATGGCTATGCAGGTTGCCTGGATGCTGTCTCCAGGTTTGTATGGACTGGGGCTAGAAATGAAGCTTGTCACTTCCTCTGACATTCCATTAGCTAGACTCCAGTCATATGACCACTATTAACTGCAAGAGAGGCTGGGAAATGTACACTAGCTGAATGTCCATGAAAAGGGGGCTATGGCCTTCATGAACAGTCAGTGTTTTCCTCTCTGTGTGCCATCCATTTCTGTGCCTCCATTACTTCCTCTATAAAATGAAATTGTTAGAGGCAGTGAATGCATGGCACACATAAAGTGCTTAGCACCTAATATATGCTCGGTAAACTTCTACTGTTATTATTCACTATTATGTAGTGGCTATTTGATTTTATTCCATCTAAGTAAACGCACACGGCAATGAATACCAGGCTAAGGAATTTGGACTTTGTCCTGGAGCTAATGAGGATACATCAAAGGGTTTTAGGCAAAAGAGTGCTATAATCAGAAATGTGTTCACTCAAAAAGTTTGACAGTGATTCTATGATATTTTTGCCTTAAATGTGCAAAATATCACCAGTGATATAAACAGAAATAATCCAGAATAAGAGCCAAGAAGAAGGTAGAATTAATGCTTAATGGCATAGATTCTGAGGCTGTAAATTGTTTCTTGGTATGCTTAGCTATGGAGGGTTAAATGGGAAAAAATGACTATTGTGCTCTCAGCTATTTTTGTGATTAGCAAAACTCTTCCACAGATTGAACCTTTTAATTGCTTCCTGATATTTATTTCCAAGGCTCTTTCGGTGGCTATTTGGTCTCTTACTGGTTTTACTTAAAGAGTTTTTATTTAAATCTTAAAAAGGATTCCTTATCTTTATGTTTTGTTTTCCTGATGCATTTTCCAAAGAATAACAAATATTCACACCTTCTCCATTATTTCTGCATTTCCTCTCAAGGCCTACCTTGCTTCCACTCTTAATACAGACTAGGAATTTCACAAGATGTTGTCTCTCGAGATTATTTGAGATTATTCACTTAAATAGTCACCTTCTTATGAAACATTTATTGACCTGACAGTGTATGTCTCCATCAAATAATTGATTTAACAGACCACTCTAGTCTTAGATAATTATTCTTATTTCATCACTGTCCCTTCCTTATTAGATACTTATAACATGGCTCCTATTAGTACTGACTCTGAACTGTGGCTTTGTCTTCCAGTTAATTTGTAAGCTCATAGTGATTGGGATGACAACCGCATTACTTATGAGCTGTGAATCTTTGGGCAAGTTACTTAACTCCTCTGAGCTTCTGTTTCCTCATCTGTAATATGAGCATAATAATATAACCTACTGCTAAGAATTATTTTGAGGGTTAGATAAGTCAGTACCCATAAAATGCCTAAAACAATGCCTGACACTTAGTAAGTGCTCAGTCAGAACTACATGTTGCTGTCATCTATTCATAAACTAAAGGCTCATTTGCCTAATAATAAAAAATGAATTATATATTAATTTCATGTGAAATAATATATTAAGATATTAGATATCTTTAAATGAGGATGTAACTTCCATTGATGAGTATCCAGTATGAGCCATATTGACTGTCTACTGGAATAATGTGTATTTTCAACCTCAGAGTTTTTGGGGTAGTGGTGGTGGAGGTATGTGCAGTAACAGGTAGATTTTACTCTGAATCTCTGTTTAAGTTTAATCATTCTAGTAAATAAAACCACCTGGAATATTTTACTGCTTTAAAATTCCTTCCGCAGCAGCAGCAGCAGCAGAGGCTATGTGTGGCTTACATGATTAGCTTCACAGAATCCTGGTAAAAGCATACCAAGTCCTTAATTTTGAATCAGTAAGATCTTCCATGAAATCATTTCCTGGTTTGTCAATTATAATCACAATGATTCTTTTGTTGGAATTCACTTGAGACCCATGAGAGAACTATAACTTCCTATTGACTGGGAAACAAATATGTCTTTTCGAGTTGTATTTGGTTCAGTGCCATGTGGAATACATGGAGATCAAGGTAATTCACGATTGGAATTAATCTTCCCTTTTCCCTGTGCTCTTCATGGATGCCACCCCCAACCCCCACCCTAAGCTGAACCCTCTTAGATATGGCCATGTGGGCATATTCACTCTGACCTCCACACCCTCGGTTCAGGAAATGAATAACTTCTCAAGGACTGCTGTCCCACAAAGAGGATAAAATACAGAGCATGTGTTATGCTTCGGTGTAAAAGAGAATGAAAACTTTTTCTTTTTAATGTGTGTGACTAGTGTTAGAAAAATGGAGTCAGTAGTTTTAAAACATAATTTAAGAACTGAGAATTTGTCCTAAACAAAGAATGCATCCTATGTGCTTTATCTTGCTCTCAGGGGTTTCACTAGTGGCTTCCAACATTCTTTGGTTGATTCCTAATAAGGACAGTTTGCACAGTTACAATTCAATTACCATTTGTAGATCCCTGTGGAAAAGAGGATTTTTTTAGAGCAATCCTTTTCTAACTCGAGTATATTTCTTCAAAATGGTCTTATTAAAATAAGAAACAGGAAATCCAGTTTCAATTTCTCTCATTCTTTTTGTCCCTTCCCTCCCCTTTTTCCTCCTCCCCAACTCTCTCTCTCTCTCTCTCTCTCACACACACACACACACACACACACACACACACACACACACACACACACACAAACGCACTCACTCATTTGTGCACTTACTCAGGGACACAGCCTGTCTTCGTTCTGAAAGGACAGGAACTTCTCAATGATCCGATGAAAAGACTGCATATTTTTGGTCCCAAGATTCACAGTAGCGGAGGTCTTTGGCAACAAAAGGTATCGTGGGAGTCACAGCTATGCCAGCTAGGCCATTTCTCAGACATTCGATATGATCTGCCATTTCAGGATGCATTTTTTACCAAAAAAATAATTTTTTAAAAACAGACTCAACTTCCTACTCCAAGCTTAGTTCAGTTAGATTAGGGAGGACAGCAAAGACGCAGCTGATTATAATTTATGGGTAAGCAATATAAATATCTACATTTACACTTCTTTTTCAGAAAACAATTGTAATAAAATTTTGTGATTCTTTCACATCCATCTTGTGATTTAGGAAGAAAACTGGATTGATCAGTGTCTGAGATGTGTGACAGCTAAAAACTGTGTCGATATGGATTTATGAGAACCTTATTTTTAGATTAATGATGTTGTGGCAGCTTGAAATGAGCAAACTCAAGCAGAAAGGATTGTGTTGTGATTAACAGAACAGCATAATTGGGCTGATTTCTGTAAAAGATTCTGGCACAGGCTATTTTGAAGTCTGAAAGGGTGGTTTTCTTTCCCTCTTAACTTCTTGAATATGGGTGCAACATTTTAGTTGCTGTGGCTGTGATAAATATGGGTTTGGGGGAACAGTTTTGATATTATATAAGGCTAATAATAAATCTGATGTGCTTGTACTGTCTTTTACAAAAGAGGAAACTTTAAGTCTCTGAATTTTTAAACACTGTCTGGCTTTCATTATTATAAGGGTATGTCTCATAATGAAAGGGCTTGGTGGTGGAAAGAGGGGAACATGACCCTGATGTCCCAGATCCCATTATGCCACTGCAGCTGCTTTGCTCATTTGTAAAGTTAGAGGTTTGAATTGATTTATCATGAAATGTTATGAAATACATATAGTGGTTATGAGTCTAAATTCCAGAACCTAAAGCCTGGCTTCAAATCCTAACTCTGCCACTTAATTGGTGTGTGCTCTTGGCAAGTTGCTTAAGTTCTGTGCCTCAGTTTCTTCATCTGAAATATGGGAATAATGATGGTAACATAGTCCTTAGGTTGTTGTAAGAATTAAATGAGATAATATAAATAAAAGGCTTAGAACAGTAACTAGCAGAGAGTGGACCATCTATAAATGTGAGCAGCATCTTCAAGGTCTAAGCTATCTCTGGAGGTCGTTCTAATTTCAGCGAACTAAATTTAATTAGAGAAAGACAAGTAGAACCATTAGCTGCTGGCCCTGTCATTGAGAAGTTTCTAATTCATGCCAGTGTTTCCACTTTCTGCAACCCTGAGATTTGTGCAGGCTGTCTTACCTTCCTCCCATCCAAGACTCAAGAGAGCTTAGAACTAAGAATTAAATTGATGGCCAATTAGAAAAGTCCACAATTCAACTGGGACTACACAGAAATGAAATTGACCTTTTGCTCTGACGTTTTTGCCCTTGAGGATTTCCAGTATGTCCCCTCTATGCTAACCATTGGAAAGGTTCTTTCCACTGGAAACAAGATGTAAGTGACATTTGTTTTTTTAGATGGTGTTAGCCCAGCCCTGGGTTTGACAATGTTCATTTCTACTTCTTTAGTTTATCAGTAACCCAGGTGAACAGGTCATTTGCAGATAACCACTTCTATTTCATGCTAGCATTTGCATATTTTTAAATATGCTAAATCATTGTTATGTTGTGTGATTTTTTTTTTTTTTTTTTACAGGCTCTCTGGGATGTTTCTCAGAGACAAAATCTTAGGAGAGGAGGAAAATGGTGATGGCAAAAGGCAGATCCTAATCACAGATGTGCCTTTACTTTTAGTCCAGTCCAGGGGTCAGCAAACTTTTTCCATAAAGGGCCAGATGGTTAATGGCCCTTTGCGGAAGGGCAGCTTCGTGGACTGTGCATTCTCTGTTGCAACAACTCAACTCTGCAATTGTGGCCTGTAGGCTGCCATAGACAATAACAATGAATGAGTGTGGCTGTAGTTTTCATAAACTTGATTTATGAAAACAATAAGTAGGCAGTCCTTGGCTCCCGGGCTAGTCAGCTTGTATCAGCAAAATCCCTATCATCATCCCCGTTTCATAGATGAGGAAAGTGGGGCATGGGGAGTGTAAGTAGCTTGCTAAAAAGCCACATGGCTGGCTAGTAAGTGGCAAAACTGGGACTCAAACTCAGGCAGCCCAGCTTGCCACCCCTTGCTTTTAGCCACCATGCTATGCTATACCTATGTCAACCAGTCTCTGCCTGGGCTACTGGGCTTCCGAAACCCGCCTGGCTCATTCCCTCACCTCCTTAAGGGTTGGTGCAAAAATCATGTTCTCTGTAAGGCTTTCCTGGTAGCTCATGCAGCACTCCTATTCCCCTCACCCTGCGCTACCTCCTTCTCTACCTCTTATCACCTTGTAAAACTTGCTGTGTAATTCAGCACACATTTCTTAAGAGTTTTTGGTGTCTCTAAAACTTCCAAGTTAAGATGCTGTGCTAGGTCCTTCTTGTATCACCATAAAAATACCTGAGACTGGGTAATTTATAAAGAAAGGAAAAGAAGTTTAATTGGTTCACAGTTCTGCAGGCTGTACAGGAAGCATGGTGGTGTCATCTGCTCATCTTCTAGTAATGGCCTCAGGTAACTTTTACTCAGGATGGAAGGCAACAGGGAGGCAACCTGTCACATGGTAAGAGCAGAAGCAAGAGAGAGAGGGAAGAAGTGCCATGCTCTTTTAAACAACCATATCTCACATGAACTTGGAGCAAGAATTCACTATTGCAAGGACAGCACCAAGACATTCATGAGGGATCCACCCTCATGACCCAAACACCTCCCACCAGGCCCCACCTCCAACATTAGTGATTATATTTCAACATGAGATTTGGAGGGGACAAACATCCTAACCACATCAGATGGGGATGCAAATTTAGAGTGGTGATGATTAATATTAATTATAACTTAAATTTCCATTTATTCAGGTCTTGTGGGAGATTATAAGCCTTCCACAAGAAATTCATTTGTATTGTCTGATATTATCCCTACAAACTGAGCGTTAAGTCTTGTTTTTTCTCCATCTTATTAATGAGAAAACCGATGATCAGAGATTTTCTGAATCTTACCAAAGAGCTGCCTTCTATTTGAATCCAAGTCTTCACCACCATACCAGTGAGACTCAACCTTTATTATGCAAAAAGTAAGACTCATCTGGGGATGCTGCTTTATAATGGAGGTGCTTGGGACCTATTCCTTGTGACTCTAATTCTCTAAATCTACCTTACAGCCAAAGGAGGCTACATGTTTAACAATGATCATCTGCCCAGGTGTTTCTGATGCCTTGGGTCCACAAACCACATTTTGAACAGCCCTGCCTCACCCCTTGTTTGGCCTTGGGGAGTTTACAGTTGGATGAGATTAAAGAGATGCTGCAATTAGAGACTAGCCCCAAGGATGTAAGAAAACAATGTGGTGTAGAACAAAACCAAAATTATTTCAATCAATTTTATTTCATGGGAAAATCAAGTCTGTTTGTAAAAATGCAACTTAGCTCAAAAGAATGACTTTCTGAATAAAGCATAGATATTGTATTGCTTGGGTTTTAGTTTGTCTTTTGCTTCTTTTTTTCTAAACATAGAGACATATACTTCTGGTGGGAAGGAAATCTCTTTAGTTAACACTTTTGGTGGGTTGTTCTCCAGTTAATCAAGACTCTATTGTTTTCAAACTTTTTTTGGTTTGCTTCTTTTAATTAGGTTTGTAGCATTTGTGCTTCTTAAAACTAGCTTAAAATAAGCCCTATGATTTTGTTTATGTGTACAATATGTAGAAAAATACATATAAAATACACATAGTAATGCATGATATATATATGAATATATAGTGCATATTTTTATGATAAAATATATAAATAATTGTTAATATTTCCCAGCACCATCATTTTATGGAGATTCTATGTAATTTGGGCTTAACAGCAGACTTATTTATGCTAAACCAAGGTTTCTCAACCTCTGCACTATAGACATTTTGATCCAGATAGTTCTTGATTTTGGGCAGTAGTCCTGTGCATTACAAGGTGCTTAGCAGCATCCCTAGCCTCTGTCTTCTAGCTGCCACTATCAAACGCTGCCCCAGTTATAACAACCAAAAATGTCTCCAGACATTGCTAAATGCTTACTGGGGGCAACATTACCCCACCAAGGACCATTATCCTATATCGTTTTGTCATATTGCTGCCCTTTATTAATGCTGTCACATAGTACCCTAGAATAGAAAGATATTTTTACAACTGCCAAGGTCTTTAGTCTATCCAGAGACATTGGGTGAATTTCAATTTCATCTACATTTATAAAATCTAAACAAATTTGAAATCATGTACCCCATAAATATATAAACCTACTATGAACCACAGAAATTTAAAAAGTAAAAATAAGGAAACAAAAAATACGGAGATTGTCTTGGTCAACTGGGTCTGCCATAATAAAATAACCTCAGCTCTCTCTTTTGGTTAACAATTCCAAATATACCAAAGAAGTTTAAAAATCCAAGAAGTTAAGAACCATGGGCTGCAATATATAATGAACTAAAGTAAACTTGAAGCATCGCACTTCACTTTTTATTATGCTAAGTGTAGTCATTTGTAAACAGTTTGAAAAAAACATATATTATTTGATTGTGTTGGAACCGTTTTAATTGAGAGAAGAAAATCAAGGCTCAAGAAAAATATAAATTGGCCAGGTTCTGTTTTGCCAGACTTAGTAATGTTTTAATTCTATTTTTTCAAAAGAAAATACCATTTTCACCATGTCCAAAACTGGGTGATCTTCCTTCTCCCCCTGCAAACCTAATTCCCTCTGCCATTCCCCATCTTGGTGATTAGTGTTACTATCTGCCCAGTTGCTGAAACTAGAAACTCAAGAGTCATGCTAGATTACTCCTTCTCTTCCCCTCACTGCATCCAGTTTATTCTCCAGCATCTATGTGGTTCTAAGTATCTCCCGTGTCTGTTCAAATTGGAATCAGCATCCTACTTAGCACAGAGTCTTTTCTCATCCCCACATCTTTGACTTGCTCTCCCCTTTAATTCCTTAGGAAACTTGTTTCCAGTCATCTTCCCTATAATTCAAATCTTCTCATGTTCCTCTCTAGCTCAAAGTTCCTGAATGACTAGCCTCCTGAATGACTAGCCATCACCTATGGAGGAAAATCTAATCTAGTTTGCATTGCCAACAGAGACAGCCCTACAGAATCTGGCCCTGACTTCTGCTTGGCTTCACCTCTTGCCATTTTCCTCCTTCCGGCCTTGTAATTCCTGAACAAGCCTGTTTTCTCAAACTCATTTGCCTTGGCACCTGCTGCTAAAGTTGCATTGCTACTGGGCGAACCCTGCTCCCTCTTACTCAACTTTCAAGCCTCCGTTGAAACACTACCTTCTCTATAAAGCTTTCCTTGATCCTCCAGATAGATAACAAAGCCTTCTCTCCTAGGCATTCATTGCATTTAGTACTTATTTCTAGTATCACAGTCTCTGTGTTTTATGGATTGCTTGTGTTCTTCCTACCTGAAGGTTAACTCTGAGGACAAGGATTGTGTTGTCATCTTAATAGTGCCAAGCCTACCACAGAGCTTAGCATCTCATCTGTGCTTATTAAATATTGTTTGAATTAATTAACCAGGAGGACTTAGTAAATAAGAACAAAATGTCCCTTCTAGGAATTAGTTGATTTCAGTCATAAGCTATAGTTCACAGGCTGGGAAACTCTAGCCCGCCAGCCAAAACCAGCCTGCTGTTTTTGTAAATAAAGTTTTATTGGAATATGGCCACACTCACTAATTTATAAATTATATGTGGCTGCTTTCATGCCACCAAGCGAGACTTGAGTAGTTGTAACAGAGATCACATGGCTCACAAAGCCTGATATATTTTCTATGTGATCTTTACAGAAAAAGATTGTCAAACCCCTACTACAGATAATTAAGCCCATTGGAGGTCACATCTTTAAACGCTTTTAAAGAATTGGTATGTAATTCTGCTTTGACACTTCAAATAGCAGTCAGCTCCCTTAGGTACCTAAGCTTCGTATCTAAAATTTATAAACTCATCTGGGGACTTTCTATCTGGGAGAAAATAATAATAAAAAAAATTCCCCAATAGTGTTCCTTGTACTCTAAGCTTAGAGTGTGAGTGAGGGTTACACCCAAGGCCTGAGTCCCCAACCGTAATATCTACATGTCCTATTTATTCTTAGACTGGTTATACCAAAAGAAAAAAAAAGAAAAAAGAAAGAAAAAATTCAAAATACACTAGCCCCAGAAGAATTTTCTTCTGTTCACTGAATGTGACTGCAGCCTCCTCACTTTGACTAGATTTGCTCACTCACTCCTCTCCCGACATGCCCTCCTGCATCACCCTCCCTGAGCTCCTCCTGGGTTCCTGCTAGTCTTCATCATTATCCACTGGATGTAATTCATACATGTCAAGGCAAAGAAGCTAAAAGCCATAACTTCTTTTAGCACTTGCTCAAATTTTACCTTCTCAGTGATGTCTTTCCTGACTGCTGTCTCTAAAACTGCAAATTCCTTTCTTTTACTTCCGCTTTGCCTTTTTCTTCTCCCTAACAGTTATCATTATTTAACACACCATTCCTTTTACTTACCCCGTTCATTTGCTGCCCCTACCAGAGTATAATGTACTCATCTATTAAATGAATGAATGAAATCCCAGATAAATGGAAAATATCAAGGAATTAACATAGTGCCATTGACTTTTGGAATGAATACACTAGGCAGGAATATGCTACCAGTGTGAAACAAAGTGCTATGGCACTTTGTTGCTGGGACCAGTCTTTCTGTCTCCCTTCTTTAAGGTGAGTGACTTCTTTTTTTTTTTTTTTTTTTTTTAGACAGAGTTTTGCTCTTGTTGCCCAGGCTGGAATGCAGTGGTGCAGTCTTGGCTCACTGCAACCTCTGCCTCCCAGGTTGAAGCAATTCTCCTGCCTCGGCCTCCCAAGTAGCTGGAACTACAGGCATGCACCACCATGCCCAGTTAATTTTGTATTTTTAGTAGAGACTGGGTTTTGTCATGTTGGCCAGGCTGGTCTCAAACTCCTGACCTCAAGTGATCCACCCACCTCAGCCTCCCAAAGTGCTGGGATTACAGGCATGAGCCACCAGGCGAGTGACTTCTTTAAGATAGTGAAGTCTTATGGGATTCTGTAAGTGTTCCATTTATTGCAATGAGTCCCTGCGTGGGCCAGCACCTCTCCTTCCCCAATAGAACTTTTCTTTTCTTGATCATTGAGCAACAGCAGCTGCCTCTTCAAATCTGTTGCAGCATGACTTATATATGAGATTCACAGGAAGTCTTCTTTAGTAAGGAGACACTGGGCTTCGGAGGATTGTAAAGTACTTTTTCTTTGGGCATGACTTTCCCACTGTCTGCACTGAGGGTGGAGCCATTCACCCTCAGTAGGCTGCAAGGGTGTGCATGTGTACACTTGAGTACACTTTTAAGATTGTGGGAATCTTTGACTCTTTGATGTGGAGTATTTTAGCATCAAATGTCTCTATAAATACTAAACATCTTCCTATTGATCATATCTCTAAGCTTATTGTGTTCAAAATAACTCATGAGAGTATATAAATAGAACCTCAATGGTTACAATATTAGCATAGAGTTTAAAGCCCTACATTCTTAGCTTGAGTCCTCATTCCAAATCTTGTAAGTTTTATGATTTGGGGAGAATTACTTAACCTCCTCAAGCCTCAGTTTCATCATCTATATTATATTACTATATGTATAGATACTATATGTCACTGTACTATTCATGTAATATACCATAAGTATAAACTTTACTATCTATTATAATATATTGTCATATACTAGATTATATTATTAAATTTTATATGAGATAGGTAAAAAAATGTTAACCACTTCATAAGGTTGTTGGAGGGATTAACTAAAAAGCCCTTGACAATAGTTAACAGCAATACATAATCTCAAATAGCTAGAAGGAGGATATTGAATGTTAGCAACCAAAGAAATAATAAATGTTTGAGATTAGTTACTAATTATTAGAAATACATATCTAATAACCATATGTATAGAAATATCACCATGTGCCACATGAATATGTACCATTTTTATTTGCCAATTTTTAAAAATGCCCTTGGTGCAGTCACTGGCCCACGGCAGGCTCTCAATACACACTCATCCCCCTATATCTGATGTGCATGATGGCAATTAGCAGCAGCACAGTATTTCACAAAAGTTAAAAGTTCCCGTGTGTTCCCATAAAAAGGAAGAAGTAGGACCCTCACAGTATCTTTCTACATATTTTCCTTAGGCCTATATGCATAATAAGATGAGATCATGTGACCCAGCAGATACTTGAGATTTTGACATTTGCAATTAACTGAGAAAATCCACAGTGAAATAAAAGACGATTTGACTTTGGGAATTGAGACCCAATTTTGGAACACAAAGGTGGTTTGCTTGACTTTATTACTAAGAGAGGATGAGATTTGTGAGAGGTAGGTGAACTCTGTAACTCTTGATTTTTTTTTTTCTTTGGCCTACAGGGTGATTTCACCTGGAACAGCATGTCAGGCCGCAGTGTACGGCTGAGGTCAGTCCCCATCCAGAGTCTCTCAGAGCTGGAGAGGGCCCGGCTGCAGGAAGTGGCTTTTTATCAGTTGCAACAGGACTGTGACCTGAGCTGCCAGATCACCATTCCCAAAGGTAAGGCCTCGTCTGCCTTTCTGCCAGGGAACACTGCAAGTCAAATATTGGCTCTGCCAAAGCCAGGAGCTGTGAACTCTTCTCACACCTAATATTCACACAGGAAGGAAACTACAGCTTCTTGGTTGTTGGCTGGCATTAGTGTCCATTTGAAGGACATGTTCAAGAGGGACAATTTGCATGTCAGCTAATATGTTTATTTAAAGGGAAGGTCAATTTGGAGCATTACAAAGGAAAGCTGTATGTATATCAACAGTCTATATGGATTCAGAACAACCAATTAAAAATAATTTTCAGAAAGGTCATCTTAAAGGGTCAGAAGAAAAGCTGTGAATACCTCAGTCTGGTTTTAAAATAACTCATTTGAAAAGAATGCCGTAACACTCCCGTTAAACTTGTCATTTGACCCTATGCCAACTTGGAATCAGGGATTTTACCGAAGTTAACTCCTTTTTAGCCAGTTTTTCAGCTGGTGTGTTCTATGTTGCACTGGAGCCAGTGCACACCTGATTGGCTGATGTTTGTTTTTTAAACAGATCCTGATTCCACTAAAGATGAGACACATGTACTTGAATTCCTTGAATCCATAAAACTTTGTCTCTGTATGTTTACTATTGTCTATAAAGGCACTTTTTTTTGGGGGGGGGGGCGGATGGAGTCTCACTCTGTTGCCAGGCTGGAGTGCAGTGGCACGACCTCAGCTCACTGCAACCTCCACCTCCTGGGTTCAAGTGATTCTCCTACCTCAGCCTCCCGAGTAGCTGGAATTACAGGGGTGCACACCACCACGCCCAGCTAATTTTTGTATTTTTAGTAGAGATGGGCTTTCACTCATGTTGGCCAGGATAGTTTCAATCCCTTGACCTTGTGATCCACCTGCCTCAGCCTCCCAAAGTGCTGTGTTGGGATTACAGGCATGAGCCACTGCGCCTGGCCTATAAAGGCCCTTTTTAATTTGTATTAGTATGTAGCAGACAGCTACTTTGAGACAGAATGAAAAACTATGATATTATACACATAGAGTAAATCTGCCATGAAGAACAACATTGGGCAGTGTGCCCGAAACTTAAAGGACAGCAGAAGAGGGATAGGAAGCTTCTAGAAGCTAGAATATTTCCACAGAGGATTTTGGTATCTGCAAAACTTCTCTTATACTTTGTTTTCTTTTGGAGGAGGTTGAGGGGATGCTTCATGAACATTTATTCATAAATAGTTCATATATATGTATATACACACAATATATGTGCATATATACGTATACACATATACACACAAATATGTGGTTCTCAAGCAGGATTGATTTTGCCCCCCATGCCCTGGGGACATCTGGCAATGTCTGGATATATTTTTGGTTGTCGCAGCTTAGGGGATGGATGCTCCTAGCATCTAGTGGGAAAAGCCTGAGGATGCTGCCCAACACCCTATAATAAATAGGACAGCCCCCTGCAACAAAAATTATCAGGCCCCATGTGCTGAAGTTGACCTACCTTGCTGTACACACATATGTTCACATTCTGTCACCCACAGTGCCAGTGGTGGAGGTCTCTTGGCTCAGCTGTGGCTAACAGAAAGAATGCTGGCTTGGAGGTATAAAGACTAGGACTTGTGAACTCATCCTGTCACTCCTCACATATGTGAACTTGGGCAACTTGCCTCTGCAGTAGGAGGCTCAGTTCTTTGACCAGAAAGAGTAGCACAAAAATGCTGACAGAGTTTTTCCTTGGATAGCGAGTCTTAGGGCCATGTTTTTTCTTGAAGCAGGAACCTGAGACTCCATTGGAGGTCATGACAGAGTTCAGGAGAGAGAGATAGGCAAGGCCAATGGGCTGACAAGACATGCATATTTTACTGGCATATGCCTTGCACCTTTGGCTTTCTTGTCACACTTCGTTCACTACCACAACCACAGCATGTTCTTTCCAAGAGGAAATCCCCACCCTGTTTTATTTTTTCATGCTAATCTCACACATAGAGACCCTCAGCTCAAATAAGAAGAAAATCACTTAGGCAATTGTGAAAAATGAATACTAGTGACTGTCAGGCCATGTCGCTCTTCTCCTTAAGAAAGGCCCTCCTGCCTTACCTGGTATTGGTTTGGTTGTAGGGTGGAGATGAGGCCTGTTCTCCCTCCAACTTAACTCACAAAGTGACCCATGCGGGGCCCAGGCCAAGAGTTTTGTCTCCCTTTAATGAGCACAGACATTCTTTTCATTCCTCAGGGGAAAAAAAATGGCAATATTGTTAGCAAACTTAATTTGTAGTGAAGGGAATGATGACTTTGAAAATTTTTTGAAACTTGGATTGAATGCGTATCAGATAAGATATCAGGGAACAGATGTTCTCTGTGGCTTTGTTTTTAAATCCAGTTGATTTTTCTCTTTGTTCCTGCTTTTTAGAGAGTCCGCTAAACAAATAACCTTTACCAAAAACAGTTTTATAAAACTTGTCTACTAGAAGCTTTGTCTCCATTGACTATTTCTGAGGCTGTGTGGTTATCCGCACATCCAGGGAAAGATTTGTGCTATCGAAATGTTTGAAGATATTCCTAGGCCACAGCAGTCATTTTCATATTTTCTATCAAAATAGGAACTAATGATTTACAAATAATTTTCTCACTTATAGATGAGAAGGAAATTGTGTGGCTGGTGAAAGAAACAGACATCACCTGAGGGTTTCTGAAGCTACTGAATTGGATATATGAATATAGACATCAAATATTTACTGAGATCCTTGGAATGTGTGGCTGGTGGCAAGCTCTATGACAGTAGCTTTGGTCTAAATTTGGCCACTTGGTCCCCATGCAAATCTTCTAATGGAGGTTCTAAACAGGATCAGATTCACTGTGTGAATAACTTTCACAGGAAGATAAATACTGTAGCCAGGACCTAACGCCTAAAGAAATGATGTCAAGCCTAATAGGATATAATGAAAATCATGATACAATGAAAATGGACACATAGTCAAGCTCACATTTCTGTTCTCTGTCACATTAGGATGATCACAGGGATTTATTTGTGGTTATCTATTTGCAGAACCCTCTCCTGTGAGTCTGGTGCTTCCAGGGTTCAAATGAATGCTATTATAACATAATCATCAGCTGCCAGAATTTACCATAGAGAGGAAAGAAATGAGGATGGGGAAGTTGGGAAATTACTGGGTGATTTCCTAGAGTGGACCACAGGGGTGGGATCCAGAGTACAAGTGGAGGGTTTGACCTTCTTTTACACTATAATGATAGATGGACATTAGTTATATGGACACTGATGCAAGTGAGTTAGAAGATGGTGGGAGTGCACGTGGGATTTTACTCCAGATTGCTTCTCAGCATCCAACAAAATAGGAAGCAATTTAATCCACTAGGAGTGAGGATGGAGAAGAGGTCCTGGAGGTTTGAGGAGAGAGGAGAGGAGTGGAAGACAGGGCAGCTAACGAGCCAGCAATGTCACAGGATTGCAGGACAGGCCAAAAGGTCCATTTGAGGTTAGTAACTGGGAATTTTAAATGAAAAATAAACATCCTGGTAGCTAAACACTGTTAAGCTAAATACATCATTTTGGACTTTTAATTCCCCAGCCTTAGTTAATCCAAATATCCTCTTTTGAGTTAGGATTTTTCTAGTTCAATTCAATGAAGGTGAAGAGAGACATGGCAGTTGAGAATATATCTGTAGTAGGCAAAATAATGGACCCCCAAAGATGGCCACATCCTCATCCCTGGAACTTGTGAAGACGACACCTCACAGGCCAAAAGAAACTTTGCGAATGTGATGAGTTAAGGTCCTTGAGATAAGGAGATTATCCTGGATTGTCTAGGCGGGCTCAAACTAATCACATGGGTACTTTAAAGTGCAGAAACTCTCCCAACTGTAATCAGGGAGAGATGTGACTATGGAAGTATGGTCAGAGAGATGCAATGTTGCCAGCTTCAAAGATGGAGAAAGGGGCCATAAGCCAAGGAATGCAGATAGCCTCTAAAAGCTAGAAAAGTCAAAGGGACAAATTCTTCCCAAGGGGCCTCCAGAAAGGAACAAAGCTCTGCTGACACCTTAATCTTAGCCCAGCAAGACCCATTTCAGACTTCTGGCCTCCAGAACTATAAGATGATAAATTTGAGTTGTTTAAGACACTAAGTCTCTGGTCATTAGTTACAACAGCACTAGGATGCTAATACAGTATCCAAGGGAATGATTCTAATCCCACAACACAGAGCCTAAACTGGATAACAAAGGAAATTAGGAAGAAATACGATAATATAAAGATGTCAATTATGTCATTAATTATCTATAAGCTGAATGTGATTACAAAATAAAGTACCAACAGAATTTTTCTTTTTGATAATTTTACTAAATTAATCTAAACATCTGGTAAAATAATTAAGTGAAGGTAGTCAGGGGAAATCTGATAAAGAGATAAAATGGAGATTAACCCTGTCCATTTATTCAAATGTGTCACAAAACTGAAGAATTAAAAATGAACCAAAATATATATGAAAATTTATTACATGATAAATAAGGTATTTTTTGTAAAGGGAAAAAGATAGGTTATTATTGTATTTGAGATAGTGAGACAATCATCATTAAGAAAATAATAAATTGATATGGAAGAAAGATTTGAAGATTAAAAAATGAAACTATAAATGATGCACCAGAAGAAAACATAGGTGGATATATATTTTTTTACACTAGGGAAGGCCTACCCAGAAAACATAAAGAGAGGAACAAGTTTCACTACATTTGAAAAAACAGAATCATCTCTGACAGATAAGCAAGTAAATAAACTTTATAGCACATTTGACAAACTAAAGGCTTACTTCTCTACTACGTAAAACTTAATTACAAATTAATATAAAAAGAAAATCTAAAATATAGACAAAATTACGGGTGGCTCACAGAAAAATACAAGTGGTATAAATAGATTTGAAAAGATGCTCACCCTCACATTCATTAAATAAATGCAAGCTAAAAACCAAGGAGATTTTTTTTCTCTCAGAATGGCATGGCT